TATTCACAATAAGTGAGATTCAATGGCCAAGAGCTTTTCCTAATTGTGAAGTTAATGTACGTTGCACTACATATGATTTTCAATTCTTCACTAATGCGGACACAGTCAACTTGCAGTTTAAGGTACGTTTAGATCTTCACTACCTAAAACGCTACAGCGCATTTAGTCTACTATGATTTATTTACAACAGGAAATCTTAGTAACATGAGTTTACAATACCCAGTTGAACTAGCCTTTCTGCGATCGGTTCTCAGCTACAACAGGTTTGTGTATACACAAATAATAAACAGGTAATATGGGTCACTACCCAATATTCTACAATGTCGAAAAAGTATAGTGGATAGAGAATCTAACAGTTAACGTCTGTTATTAACATGGCATTCTTAATAACTATGTTAATGGGTCTATATGCCCGTCTTCTGTAACCAGAAATTTAATCAAGTTTTTAATGACTTGTACTGTCACATGTTTTGCTGTTTCTGCATTATTACGCTTTCATTATCTGAAGGTGGTGGTGGTGGTCAGGGTCAATGGGGTATGAACAACGGACATGGAAATCAAGGACGTGGTGGTTTCGGTAGTCATGGTCGTGGTGGTTTCGGAAATCAAGGACGTGGTGGCTTTGGAAATCAGGGACGTGGTAGACCTAGCATGGGTGGTGGACGGATGGGTGGGCATACTGTTTTTTTTATTGACTTTTCGTATAGTTTGGTTACTAGGTTTATTTTTCCGACTCACTGTACTGATCAATTTATGTCTGTAAATAGGATCTAGGTTTTTGGGTTTGTCAGCTATAAATATTCCAAAAGTTGTTTTTAGTGTGGTTAAAATCCCAGACATTTTTCATATAGAATCGGACTCGATTGTTTCGTTTTCACCACATATGATTTTGTAATTACTGATGACTTTGATAAGCTTAATTTGATTGATTCACATGGATATTCATTTTCCCCAAAAACATTCACTAAGTATTTTTAATCGTTCTGCATGGTTTTCATAGTATTGAGATTGTGCATTCGAGTAACTTAACTGGGATGCTGAAGTTCGGTTATGATGTATTTTCTGATTCTAAGGTTTTCGTATTCAAACAAAGGATATAAGAGAACCACAGAATAAAACAATGAGACTATGAGTCATTTCTAAGTGTAATGTTAAGTAGGATTATTTAGTCTACCTTAAATGTGTTATGCATAAAATGGATGTATATTTTTAACAAACGTGTTTGATGGAATTAAAGGTATAAATCTCTAAACTGAATAATTGTTACTCATTCGTTTATTGATAGCTTAAAAGTATCTACCAGCATGGTCGTAATGATCATAATCTGTGAGATGTCTTGACTTAACATATTGAGGTCCCTTTTTTAAAAGAACACGACAAACCGTTAACATCGGTGCTTTACAAATAATAAGATAATATGATCCATTTCAAACACACAGACTTACATATTCAGCTGTCAGCCACATTTTATTTGGCACTACTCGTCAGCTCAAGCCGACCTAGTTTACTCAGGTTTCTGACTTGCACTCTAATGTCGACCGACCTACCTGACGAGGTGAAAGTCGTGAAGGAACCCCGAATCCTTAGGTGCTATGGGTCACCAATCACAGATGTCTTACCTCTGACTCATTTTGAAATTCGTCCCATTCTACCTTGTGGGTGTGGAACATTAGCCATTAGGAATAAAGGATATTCGTAGATTTCTAATGTTCGACAATAGGTATCTTCGAAGCATGCTCGTGTGTTTTCGGACCATGGAGTAAGCAATGTCTGGGTAAGGATGGGGATTCTATTCGTGAGGTAGCTGTAATAGACATTACGTATGTCGAACCAACCGCAACTGATCGATCTCTTATTGGCATATGTGTATCCTGTGTGAATTGCCTTGTTATTTCCTCAAGTCGAAATCATAAGCAGAGATAGATGGGTGCAGCAGCGGACATGTACTATGAATCTTGTTCCTCCTAATTCCACATTATGCATTATTTACCGATGCTAGGACTGTTTGGAAAAAGTGGAGAGGTTGTCAGTTTACGATACGATCTTAGGGTGTGGACGAAAGCTTCATAGGACTGGGATATATCGGTTCATCCTGACTTCCTGATTGGGTTCCTAGAGATGGTGTAACTTAGTGCCTTGAGACCTTATCAAACATGTCTCAAAATAGAAGCAAGCGGCGATCCTGCTGTGGTTTTCTTTTGCTTTCTTCATATAGGTTAGGGAAACTTCGTTTACTGAGTCTTTTCTGGTTGTACTTTTTTTAACTGAACTGCTCTCTCAGTTTTCTACCTAGCTCATAATTCATCACATTATTGAAATCGAGTTCCTTTAATTATTAAGGATTTATTTTTATTTTTTAGTTATATAAACACATAAACATTGGTACGAGAAGGCACCAAATAGATATGCGCCACATAAATCTTTCGATCTGTGTGAGGGCTGGGATACTCCCGGGTGCCCAAACCGAAGCAGGAATAAAAAATCTCGAAATATTTCTCTTCTATATCACTTTTTTTTAGTGTTTATTATAATCGCTTTCTTACGGTTATAACCCAGCTATTCCTATTGCTTAGTAGTCTTGGACATCAAATCACTCCACAAGTTCTTAAATCAGAACACGATTGAACAGGGAAGAGATAATATTCCAAATAACAAGGTTAGATGGAAGCAAGAAGCACAATAGGGGGAACGTTAGTATATTTATAGTTTTTATATGAGAAGATTCTAGAGTATTCGCCAAGTATCCATTAGCTCTGATTGGGTAAGAAAAAACCAATCAGCGTGCAGCAAAGCAATCGTGCATTAAGCATGCTTTAATCCAGTCTATGTCCCGCTAACAGAGTTTTAAAATACTTTTTACCATTACGTATATATTATAATCTACAGATGAAATATAGACTATAATTTTTGTTTAATATATAATAGTGGTTTAACATTTCGATGATGTTCAGTTTATCAATTGTCATTACATCATTTGGCTCATAATTCTTTACATTCACCGTTAGTTTAGGTAACTAGACAAATATTTTTATCATCTATATAAAATATAGCTAATATACTGTTTATTTGTATTTTAAACCAATTATTCTTCGTTACCAAGTTGAATTTGAGAAATTTTTATTTCTCGTTTCTGTTTTACTATTAGAAAGTTATGGACGTCCAAATAGAGGCGGAATGGGTGGATTCGGTGGACAACGACAAAGTTACCATCCTCCAGGACTGTCACGAGAGGAATTAAATGAACCTAGTACCAGGAATCCTCAGTCAAATTCTGCGGATTCAACCAGTAGTGGTTCGGGTGCTGATCGACCTAAACTAAACCTAAAAATCAGAGAGACCCCTGTAAATACAAATGATGATCGACAATTATCAGAACGTGCCCGTGCCATATTCGGAGTTGGGCGTCCTCGAGAAGCTAGTCCAATTCGAGAAAAAAAGTAATTAAAGTGTGCATCTGAATTTAGTACTTATTTAGTTTTGATTCAGTTCCACTCTCATACTTCAGTTTTACGAAGTTTTGAAGTATAACCTGTTTAGTAAACGTCATAAAGTTAGTCAATCGATCGTATGAAACGTACAACTAATCACATGTGAGTCATTTCAAGCGGCTACGTCAGGTTAGCAACGTTTGAATGCCATACTTAAATGACAACGGGTTTGAACTTTGACTCAGTTTGTTAAGTGTGTAAATTACCTTTAATCGATTTCGTTGTCGTACTTTTGTCGACTTTTCAATTTCATCTTAAGCTTACTAATTATTTCGTACTACATTTGTAACTTTGTTACAGGTTGGGTTCTGAAGAAAATGCAACCGGTTCTAGTTAATGAAAGAAGATCATTTATATTCAACCAAAGCAACTTGACAATTGTTTTCACTAACATTTCTACGAATATGTGTATTTTTCTTGTTTAATTCAAACATTTCACCCTTCCCCTGTTTTTTCTTACATTACCACATGAATATATACATATATATATCTGTGTATGAACTAATTTCATCTTAAAAGTGTGTTACTTTTTCAATTCGATCTTCTCATTGTATTCACATTTTAATCTTTAAACTTCGTTGTCTTTTCAAATCAAAACGTTTAAATGTACAGGTTGTCCAAGGTTTTTTTTCCCGTCAGTTCTACTGTTTGGTTAGAATCTTTTTAAAACAATAGATCTATTTGTTATTATTGTTGTTGTGCTAATTGTCATTGTTGTTTGATTGTAAAAACAAGCTTATCTCCTTGGTAATTGTTAGACAATTTAGCCGTTTTCGTTTTTACTATTTGTCTTCATATATGCATGTGTGTGTATGTGTATGTGTATACATCCAAGTGGATTGTTTGTTTGTTTGCTTTTCTTCTTTCCTTATTACTGAACAAATCATATACACATATACATCATTCAATTATCTTCTATATTACTGAATCTGTTTAGGAAAGCATCTGTAAAAATAAGAGAATACAATAATCTACTTTCAAAGGTTATAGTAAAAGAGAGACAAAAAACTAATAATAAATTCCTTTTTATAATAGATTTTGTTTTACAATAAAAAAAACGAATGACATACTGTTTGTTGTATTTAGATTACATAGATGGTGGTTGGAGGTGGTCGACAGGAAAACCTGGACCCGGGTTTCGTGTTACTTGGCACTCGTCAGCAAGGTGTACTTGTAATCTTGAGGGGACTGGTGCTCTCTGGCGGAAGCTGGGTGACACGAAATCGAATCATCTAGGGAGCGCCAGTTCCCTGAAGATTACAAGTACACCTTGCTGACGAGTGCCAAATAGCACGAAACCCGGGTCCAGGATTTCTTGTCGACTACCTTCAACCACCATCTAATGTCAATATATAATGCCCGCAGTATCGAGTCACCTACCTAAACTGGTGGCCACATTGCAACATCGATAGCATTCGATCTGCACTAAATAAGGACTAGACACGCATGATCAATCAATTGTGATCAGATTACATAGTTTACCTTATTCTTATTCTTCTTTATTATTTTATAGGTGAGACTTGTGAATGGGTAGACGTTTTATCTGTGATTATTGTGACAAATCATTTCCAGATAATCCAATTAATCGAAGAAATCATCTTAAAGGTGTACAACATCAACAAGCTCGAAAATTACATTATGATAAATTTCTTGGTAGGATTATAAAAATTATGAAATGTGATTTCATTTTATAAATATATATATATAGATCCTAAAGAAAAACTTATTATAGAGAAAGCAAAGAAACCATGTATAACATTTCGTAATTCTGGTACATGCACTTATGGTCCATTATGTAAATATTCTCATATAACCATTGAAGAGATTCGTATATTAGAAGAGAAATCTAGTAAGATAATAATAGTTTTGTTTATTTATCAAAATTTAGATGCTGAACTTCTTGCTTCATCTTACTTAAATCATTTAACATCTGAAGTGAATATTGATAATCAAATTAATATATTAGAATCAAAATTAATATCTAGACGTGATAAACAATCAAATTTTGGATCAACTCAACAATTTCATATTCCAGAAGGAATACAACTATTATATCTACCTCCGTCATTGTCTTTACATTAAATATTCCAGATGGATGCCCGATTTTATCTTTTAAAGGATTTGTGTATATGGAGAATTCATTTGAGGATTCCACGTGTTTCTATAGTGAGGTTTTAATTTATAGACAAAGCAATCAGATTTCAAATAGCGAGTTATAGATTTTGGCATCAACTTCTGACTTCTCACACTAATTCATAAACCTATTTAGACCTTTTTAAGTTGGTGCAATTTCTCAAGGTCACTATGACATCACTCAAAGGTTGTCCATAAATTCCAACTCTACTTTATGGGGCTTCTCTGACGGTTAAAAGATTTTTGTATATTTATGCTATGGAAAATAAAGTACTTATTACTTTTTAGGCTTTTTGGCCTATAACTCCTTTCTTTTCAAATATATTCTATTTGTTCGGGTTCTTTTAGTTAGTCGAGGGAGGGATTTAATCGTGAATAAGATGATCTTGGTTGTTGCTAGAAGTATAAGGGTGGAGGGATATTTCTTCTTTAGGGGTCTGAAAAACCGGACTTTTGATGACCATAGAGACCTGGGCCTGGGAGCGTGATCTCCTGAGCCCGGTCACTTATGACATTTCTGTGGGACTTTTTGAACTGCTAGCTCCGCACTTCGGCAGGCCTTACTGCTGGAAACAAAAATCCTTGGGTAAAGTGAGGTGTGACATTTCAGGGTTGACCTTTTCTGACCCCTTTCGTTGTGAGAAGACAACATCACTGTCCGAGGGAATTACCTTACTGCCGTAGCGCCCCTTTGCACTCGGCAGTACGACTTCACCATCGTGCCTTAATTTACTGCTTTTAATCTTACCGTTCTCCAATCGACCTGCCTGGTATAGTAGAGTTTAAAGGAGCATTTGTTTTAACCAATATACCACGTCAAGATAACATTTACAATCGAGTTCATTCAATTCATAAAGCCCCCACCAGCGCAAATATGATACTACAACCTGAATTCTAAAAGTTTAAGCAGTTAGCATAATAACATTTAGTTTATTGAGTGAAGTATAAGGTGCTTCTTTTTTAATAGTTTTTCTTGGATTACTGATATTGTTGCAAATGTAATCAACATACAAGTACATCAACGAAATGTTATATGGTGACGTGTTTTGTCCTTCTAATTTGAAAACCAAGTAAATGACCGAATCACATTGCTGTAAGAAGAGCCAAACAGACGTAACGCATTAATGTATGTATTCTTTGTAACCTAGATCACTGAGTTTTCTAAACGAAGGTGTTTACAATACGTTTACAACACAAGTGTTTCTAACAGATTCTCAAGTTCCGCATTGTGTGCTACGGTCGCCAAAGCTCTTCAATACTAGCTCGATAAAATAAGTGTATATCACTACTATTGTTTACTGAACAATCCAAGCAATAAAATTACACTAAGTTATTATTACTTGTTTTCTTTTCGCCCGAGAACTCACATCAGCAATGTCAATTTTTATTGGTCACCAACAGATCCAAGATTATATTCATATAAGACAGGACCTGGCATGACTGCTTAATCAGAGATGCTTATACACAGCGACGTTTTAATTCATGCAAGTAAGGAAGGGTGGTGAAATTCCTAGTGAGATGACAATACAATTAACGATTAACACAGTGTGTAAGATAGAGCGACCAATAGTAGTGGGAATCTGTTAGATTGCGAAGGCCGAGGTAACGATTGTTGCGGGAAAATCCGTCAGTTAATTCACTAGAATATAAATTGAAAGCCATTTTGTTTTCTTGACTCCAATAAATTACCCGCAGTTTTTTGTATGAAGTATGGTTTGGACGTTGTGTTGAAAAGCAGTATCTGTACATTTTTAAAAACCATTTTGGATGCTTATTTTACTGTTTGGGAACTTAATATTGTGATTCTATCGATTTAACTCTATCATAACTGGCATTAATTACTTCGTCTCTTTAAGATCCTTCGTAAATTGAATACGTAAATGAATGTATGCAATTGTCAATTCAGTCAAGGTAGAGTGTAACATAAATGTTTCTATAATATGATGGGATGACGAGATAAAGTTAACAAAGTAAGTAATATGTACATTGAGAATAACTTAACTTTGAGAATATGATTTGGAAAGACAATAAAAATGTGACTCATAGGATATAGAGTAAATCCATCTGTTCCAGCGTGGTTCGTCCTGATTAGCGAATTGTAATTTAGCGTAGATGGGAGGTATATGAAGATAAATCATAGTTGGCTGTTGTCACATTAATACCAGCTGACAACCTATTAAAAAACCTAGAAATAATGGATCTCTATCTTACTTGGTTTCTTAACAGTGCACATCTGTAGATAGTTGAGAAATAACACAATACCTTTGTTGAATTGTAAATGATTTAAACGAATAGTAACATTCATGGAAAACAGGTTACTAAAAACAAAAATTCGGATTTGTAAGTTATATATTAAAACAATCAAAAATAGCAAATATATGTACATTACCGTCAGCTACCCAATTCGAATTATTTTATTTACGATCTATGACCATAGGTTATGATGCCTTGGTACAGCCGAGATTGGGGAGAGGCAGCTCTCCCTCTTGAAATGATCGCACATGGCTACGTGCATACAATCACTGCATTCTCGTGGCGGGGATGTTGTTTACGAAATTGAGAAGACAAAATGCGAGTGCTCGGCACTTTAACCGGGTTGGTGGATGTGGAGAGTTAGAAAACCCTGATTACAACCCCATAGTGCACATAGACTCCAGGATTCTGAAGGAACAAATGGCGTGTGAACTAATCATCGATCACTGGATACCGTGGGACAACATCTGATGTTGCTCCATAGTCTTGTGGGTCAGGTGTTTAGGTCGAAGGCTCCGGGTATGGCGTAATTAAACCACCTGCTCCCGTCAAGACACTAGGGCAGTATTACAGCCCACATACAAATCAAGTGGCATGTGTGGCGCATATGTATTTGATGCCCCTTTGTACTAATATTTATGTGTTCAAATAAATAATAAATGATCATTAACTGACTAACTTGACTCTCATCTGTTGGTGTTGTTAATTTGCAGATTTTTTCTATTATTAAGTAATACAATCGTAACACTATTTTTTTTGTAATGAGCACAAATCAACCCATAGTTACGTCCTATCTGTATGAGATAATCTTCAACATGTATTATCTTCATAACTAAGCAGAACTAATCAGTCAGTCAGTAACGTGGAACTTCGTACGTAGGTACATCAGTTCGAGTTGATTAATGTTTACATAATTATTATCGATTATTATATCTATCACTCATTGATGTTTTATTTTTATGAGGTGCATTTATTACAACTTATTGATTTCATAATCCATTTCGAGACATTTCAAGGAATTTATATAACTAACTCTTCAAAAAGACCATCGGATTGTATCACTTATAATGTGAAATTATAAACACTATACTCTCTGTATCCAAATCATTTTTAACCTGGTAATAGAGTTATATAATCATTATGAAGGATGTCTGTCTGTTGGAAATATGTATCTGACGCGAGGAAAAACATACAAATCAGCTTTCATTTAGTAATTTTGCTTACAGAATACACTTTATACTATAACTTCTAAATGTTTGTTTAACGAAGATAACGTTTTAGTGTAAACGGTGATTTCCGTCATAAAACGATATTAATTAAATAACCAGAAAGCGCATAGTACCAATTATACGTCACTCCTCAATAATGAACGAGAAATTTTATAAAAGAATATTGATTCGTCTACCACTGAATGCTCGAAGGATCCGTTTCTTGTGGATCGACAACTTATTCTTTAAAATGTTTGACTTCCAGTCACAAGGTACTATATTCCAACCCCACCCCACATCAGTTTGATCTAATAATTATTATCAATACACCTCAAATTTACTGCGTCTCACATACTCAATTACCTGGTGAACTATTCAATGTAGTTGTTTTATTTGTTCTCTTGTTAGGTGGTAAATAAATCCACAAATTTAGGTCACTTTTTTTTCTTAAGAGATAAAATTAGGATCAAGTAATAAGTCTCTAGAAGGTAGTCTTTCTGAGTTTTTTTTCGTCGTATTTTCAGAGGTTAGATTAAAAATATTGTGATCCTGTATAAACAGTAGTTGTCAATTTGAAATTTAGTAACAAAACGATTCAAATAGTTAACGTTCGGTCTTTTAAATCAGCTAGTCCACCAGGGTGCTTGGTATCTCTGTGGTCACGCTACAGGATTGAGCTGTACTATTCAGATTGTAGCGTTAAAGCCTATATGATGTCTGGTTGTCCTATGAAGCGGGATCGAGTTGTACTGCTCAGGTTATAATGTTTAAGCCCGGATAGTGCCTAGTTCTCCTGGAAACGGGATTGGGCCGTACTACTTGGGTTGTCACGTGAAAATTTGGATAGTGTCTGGTTCTCCCAAAAATCAGGAAATCAGCGAAATACCCGACACGATAATATTTATCTAAAGTATACAATAATCAGATTTATTTACCTTCACTACCTAGCTGTTTAGTTAAATTGATCATTGTTTGTCAACAGTTTAACATCGAACCACAGTAGTAAGTAGTAGAACATTCCTGTCTTGTTCGGAAAGGACTAAATGAATGGTAACTTCCAGGGATTATTTATTGAAAATGGCAAGAAAAAAGATTCTAACAGAATACAATGAATTCATTTTATTTCGTTCAGTTCTCGTCAACTGCTTACAACCTGTGATATTTAAAAATCATAATTACATAATGGATTTCAATTACTTACATGAAAGGGTTTGATTGGAAGTGATATTGATGACACATTAGTATAGTATAGCAAGGGTGCAAATAAATTTAATAGACTGAATATTGTAAATATATACCTTATGTGATGAAAGAACATTCTACAACATTGATTGTGACAACAGTTCAAACGGCTAGAAACAAGTGATTACATAATGAATAAATATTGATAGATGGTGGTTGGAGGTAGTCGACAGGAAACCCTGGACCCGAGTTTCGTGCTACTTGGCACTCTTCAGCAAGGTATACCTGTAATCTTGAGGGAACTGGTGCTCCGTGGCGGATTCGATCTCGTGTCACCTAGCTTCACAGTCGATAGCATTCAATCTGCTCTAATACGGACTAGACACGCATGACATTGATCGTCACCCATTGATCAATCAATTGTGAAATATTGATGAGAATATAGTGAATAGAGCTCAGTTAATAAAACAAGGTTACTAATCTGGAAGATAGTTGAAATAAAACGCAGTCATGTAATAAATACAAGCAAGAGTTTAACGAAGAAGATGCAACAATGGGATATTTGTCACTATTGAAAGGAAAGGAAAGGCAAGATTAATAACCATCTCCTTTTGAACATACAAGTCAGGATTCTGACGCCTGATAACAACGGCTTTAGCAA